TGATGATCACGAGGACATGCTGGGATTGGATGCTGGACGCGTGGTGCTATCTCTCCATAACGAGGACCCAACACCACAGGATGGTTGGGAACACAAACTCCCACCACACTCGTGGGAGAAAAGACATGCGTTTGCCCCGACTGGGAGATATCGGCATGGGGGTGGGCGAGGTGCGTCGAGGGCTCCAGATGGTCAGTTGGTGCACGGTCTTCGTTTCCGGCGTGCGTCAGGGGTGATGTTAGGTGGATAAGGACGCATGGGCACCCAATCGCTCATTCATAGCCGATAGGGGCCCGATAGCGGGAGCCTATCGCCGATCTATTGGCGATGTACCGCCGATTCCATGTCCGTGTTCCCCCCCCCTGAGCCAGCCACCCCACATTGTCCCCCCCAAGTGGATTTCCCCAGACTTGTCAGGAGAAGCAGGAGCAGGAGCAGGAGGAGGAGGAGGAGGAGGAGGAGGAGGAGGACAGTCTGGGTCGGGGGCGTTTCGCCCGCAGACTTGCGGAGGGTTTGAACGATTTCCTACGCTGCGGACCACACACGCCTAGCCCTGATGGACACGCGCCTCGAAGCTAGGTGCGTGCCGAGGCTGCAGAAGAGACCGGAGGAGGACGAGGAGGAGGAAGCGCAAGAAGATGGAGCCCGCGTCGTCCTGGCGGGTTAGTGCCAGATCCCAGAGCGGGCCCGCCCTGCAGTGGTGTCCTCGGGGCTCCACCTTTGGCACCCTTCCCCCGGGGGGCCATGCAGTGGCGCTCGCTCTGGCTGGAACACGGGGATCGCCAAACAGCGCGGTGGCCGCACACCGTATGGTGAGTCCGTGGGGATGCGGGCGACCGCATGGTTTGAGGGCGCAGGTCGCTTTCCGAGGATGTCTCTGGCGACTGGGGCTTTCCAAGGTCCCAAAACCGCGCGGTGGCGGACCGTGCGGTGGAGGTCTTTGGGGATTCCGAGATCGCCGCACAATCTGTCACCGCATCGTTTTGGAACCCCCTGGAGGCCTTCCCAGCAAGGGCTGAAGAGCCCCAACCTCCCCTCCTTGCGGTATGACGACGCGAGGATTTTGGTAATTTTCGACGTCCGGGAGGCCCTCACCGGGCCCCAAGACCGTCTCAAAGGACAATTCGGGATGGAGAGCGGGTCTTGGGGAAGGGTTCTAAACCTCGGAACCACGCGTTGTGAGAAAAAACAACGTCGGAGACCTCGGATATTGAGACAGGTTTCGCATTCATCGCTCGCTGAAAATATGTATTTATCGGTTCCCAGATTCCATTGATTGGCGGTATTGCGACGCCCTGTGAGGCCACGGCAGTTGTGTTCATGTGTTTTGCACCCGGATATATCTCTCTCCTATCTCAAGGTTCGATTTTCATGTTCCCTTCCCCTTCAGGGGGCGGGCGGAAGCCCAATCTGCCTTGAACGCTTTCCTACTTCGTGCTGCCACACGCTTTTCCCGAACGATGGGTGCTGGGGGGGGGCAGGTGGGCAGGGCGCGGCGGCGACGTTCACCAGGGGTACAGTACAGGTTGGGAGGGCAGGGCTCGAGCTACACGGTGTTTGGGCGATTTCGTGGACCGTTGTCGTTTTCGATGTCATCCGCAGCGAAGGCAGAAGGAAGACAGAACGAAGGAAAACGAAAACAATACGAAAGCGAAAGACACTGCTTAGCTCGAGCCCCGTGGGAGGGCAGGAGGACGAGAAACCAGAACGGAGAGAGTTGCGCGACCCGTCGGCGGGGGCCTCCTCCTCTCCTCCTCCTCCTGGCGGAGGTCAGGGACAGCGTCCAGGAGCGGTGGGCTCAGGGGGACGCATCGACCCCCCATGGCCCATTGATCGCCGATAGGGTCTCGACACCCCACCCCGCCCAGGACATTCGGATTCCCCATCGGGGGGCATATCGGCGATGCATCGCCGCCGATTCGAGCGCGAGGTCTCCACCCCTGGCAGTGCCTCTCACGAAGCATGCCGCGGCGCCCGCGACTCTGGCTCGAGCCCCTGTTGTGCAGAAGGCTTCCGCTTGCCTCAGCGAGGGCCCGCGGCTCTGAACTTTTTTTGTCGGGCGACGCGCGCCGGGGCCCGCGAGAGGTGTGCGCAAGCAGAGCGCCTCTCCCACCCCCCCCCCGCTCCTGGGCAGACCAACGACGGCCGGGGGCAGCTCCTGCTACTCCTCCTCCGCCTCCTTCTCCGCCTCCTCCTCCTCCGCCTCCTCCTCCTCCTCCTCCGCCTCCTCCTCCTCCCGATCCGTTTCCGCGGTGGGTCGATCTCGCGCAGGCTTGTCCGCCGCGGCGGGCCGGCCAGGGTTCCGAGGGCTTCTGGGGCACGGCAGGGCCTCTGCCTGCCGGCCCCGTGCTGCGGGCGGGCAGCAGGGGCTCCAAAAAGGGCCCGAAGGGGCCCCATTGGGGAGCCCATTTCTGCACCCCCCCCCTCGAGGTCACCCCCCATGACTAAGTCGGGCACGTCCCTCTACACGAGGAGTGTCCAAAAATTGTTGAGAAGGTAGTCTGGGGACGATTTGTTCGACTAGGTTTGAGATTTTTGGGGGCAGTTTGTGATTTGTGTTCCAAAAGTCTGTGGAGGGCATGCCCGACCTAACCCCAGTACCACCCGCCCGAGTGTGGCCGGTGCTGGCGCCGCATTTGTGCTCGGAGTTCCGTCGCCCAGTTTTGCCAGTGGATTGTTTCCGGAAGCGGGTAACCAAATTGCTCCAGGATTATGTTTCCCGTTGCCTGGGAGCATTGTATTGTGTTACCGCTCTCATGTTCCAGAGACAGTTGTTTGAATAATTGCAAAAAAAATCTGAAGAAAAACGGCCTTGCCGTTTGCAGGGCCCGCTAAAGAGCCAAGACGAGGGGTGGACGGAGGAAGGAGGCGCTCCGTGCGTGCATGTCCGGGCCCCGTGAGTACGAGCAGCAGACAGCCATGGCTGCAGCATTTCCATCCGACACGGCCATCGTGGTTGGGGGGGGTCTCGGTGGAATGTCCGCCGCCAACACGGTGCTGGAGAACAACGGGAGGGTCGTGCTGCTCGACAAGTCCTCGTTCTGCGGCGGCAACTCCACCAAGGCCGCCTGCGGCACACAGAAAAAGGGGCAGCGAGCGAGACAAGCAGCGGGTGCGACCGTGCTCCTCGTCCTCTTTCACCTTCTCCACCTTCCAGTTCCCGTCTCAACCTCGCTCACCATCCTCCTCCTCCTCCTCCTCCTCCTCCTCCTCCTCCTCCTCTTCCTCCTCCTCCTCCTCCTCCTCCTCCTCCTCCTTCTCCTTACACTCCTCCTCCTCCTCTTCCTCCCTCCTCCTCCGCCTCCTCCTCCTGCTCCTCCTGCTCCTCCTCAAGGCAACTAGCGGCATCAACGGAGCGGAGACGAAGACCCAGAAGGCCAAGGGGATCCCCGACACGATTGAATTGTTCACCAGCGACACGCTGAAGGGCGGCGCCAAGAAGCCCGAGTTGGCCAAGGTGGACGAGGGGTAAGCATGATCCTGAGGCAGGGGAGGAAGAGGAGCAGGAGAAGGACAGAGGGGGATGATGGAGAAGGGGAGAAGGCGGCATGAATGAAGAGGAGGAGCGACAACGTGAGGATGAGAAAGAGCAGGAGGGATAAGAAGGGACGAGGATGAGGAATTGTGAGCAGGGAGATGGCGGCTGGAGAAGGAGGCGGGAGGAAGGCGGAAAAGAGACGAGGAAGGAGGAGTAAGGACAAGGGGGGGAGGAATGGGTGGGGCAGGAGGGAGAAGAGAAGGAGGAGGAGATGCACGAGGAGTGGGAGGAGTGATAAAAGAGTGGGGGGGGAGGAGGGGGAGGAGGAGGAGGAGGAGGAGGAGGAGGCGGAGAAGGAGGAGGAAGACGACGACGACGATGACGACGACGAGGTTGAGAACTCACCCACTGGAATATCATGGCACCCTTTTTCCCAGTCCCCTCTCCCCCCCCCAAGAAAAAACACTGAAGCCTCTCAAAGCCAAAGGAAATGGAGGAGGAGGGTGGAAGGAGAGAGGAGGAAGCGGAGAAAGGGGAGGAGGGAGGGAGCGGAGGAGGAGGAGGAAGAGGAGGCGGAGGAGGAGATGGGAGAGGCGGAGGAGGAGCAGGGTGAGGAGAAGCGTGGGGGAGGTGTTGTGCGGCAACAGCGGAGCCGACGTCGACTGGCTGGTCGAGAAGTTCAACCTCGACCTGTCCCTCGTCGCGCGCCTGGGCGGCCACTCGGCGCCCAGGACGCACCGAGGCGCCGTGCGCCGCGCCGCTCTTCCAGCGCGACCTGCCCCGGCCTCGTGTTCTTCGGCCTCGACCTCGCTCTCCGCGGCCTCCTCGATCGCGTCGCTGGGAAGCCGTCCCCCCCCCTCCCAACTTCACCGAACAAGAGACAACTGCGTGAACACAAGCTTGTGGAGCTCCGCTCGGATGTCCTAGAGCCCCCTCGGCGGCGGCTCCAGCGCCGGCCCCGGCGCGCTCCGCGCGCCAGGGAGAGGTGTCCAGCGCCGATCCAAAGAGTTAGTACGGAACTCCGAAAGGTTCTGTGCATGCCGATATGTATGATTATCTCTCCCCCTCTCGCCTGCACCTCCCGTCTCCTTGTCCGCTCGTCGTCATGTTTCGCAGCCGCCTCGTCTTCGTGGCCGTTCCCTTCCTCGTACCCCGTAGGTCTCGGCCTCTTGATCCGTCCGCCTCCTGCTGTTCATCGTGATCATCCCCATCCTCCTCTTAACCGGACCTCTATGCCTACTGACCGTTCAACCCAATTGTTGCCACCCCCTCTCCCTAGCCCTGCTACCCGCCCTCTCCCACTGAGCCTAATAGGGACTATGTGGCTTGCAAGTCTGGCGATAACGCGGGGTGATCGCCACCCGACGTAATTAACATTATGCAAATCGTTTTTGGTGTCCACCAGAGGATTTGTGCCGTAGCGCGCGCATCAGGTGCGGACGGGCTTGTGCGCGCGCTCACAGCCGAGCGTTGTGCAGAGGCCTGTGTTGGATTGCCCATGGGGAAGAGCCAACATAGTTCA